CTGACTTATTTTATTTATTTTTATTTAATTATTATACTATATAATATAAAACTATGTGTATGTGTGTGTGTTATTTTTAATGTAAACTTTATAAATGCTTTGGCAGTACATTTGTCATGCCAATAAAGCAATTATTGAATTAATATTATTGAAAGCACCACAACACAATACTGTATGATACCTCTCTGCCATTGTGCCATTCCATAATGCAGAAGTGCGCAACTTGCGTGTGTCGAGTATGCAAGTTTTCTGATAGACACATGATCGCTCACCTCACGTTCCACCGCGGATTGGTGTAACGTCTTATAAACAATGCATCACTGACAATCCTGTACACGGCGTTAAAACATTTAGGCCCTAGTTATGCAAAATTTTGTAAAATATAGTTAAAATATCAGTACTTAAAAAAACATCGATACCAAATTATAAGCTAGTATCGATTTATCGATGATATATTGATAAGCTAGTATCGATTTATCCAAATTAAAATCTGAGTATCGAGTCGGTGCCCTTTGGGTAAGGGATCTGTGAAGCTGATCAGTGTTTTTAAGATCACCAGAAAGCAACAGGCAGGTGTTTGATTAGGGCTGGAGCTCAATTCTCCAGTAAATTGCCCCTCACAGGTCCCCGAATTATCAATTTGGGAATTTTTTAAAGTATTATTAATGGGGCTGTACTATTTTTACCCAGCTAAGTCTAATTATGTAAGCCTACTTAAGTCTAATGATGTACATTTTCATAATAAAACACAAGAAATGCTGCAAATATTCATCAAAAATCACCACAATGTCATTTTAATAATCAGATTTCATTTAACAGAAAAATCCAAGAGGGGACCGGTTGAGCGAGGAACTGATCAAAGCAAAACTAAACATTTAACTTATAGCACACATTTATTGTGTTCATAAAAAAAAGACAAATATACAGAAAAAACAAAGGATGGCTATTGTTTAAATTACTCTCATTCTGATTATGCGTGTATTTGCACTCCAGTAAAATCAGCAGTAGTATAAACACCGCTGCAGTCTTCATCATTATGGCATTCGGTTTCCATGTCTCCGCTAATATACTCCACACACTGCATTGCATTTTTAATAGCGATCCTTGGCAAGAGTCTCAGACTGAACGGATGTGCAGTCAGTCGCTCCGTGTGGACAATCCTGAGCATCATCAGTTTGCTCCAGTCTTCGGTACACGCACTTTTGCTTCTTCATCTATTTCATCCATGATTTTTTCTTGGGATACCGAGTAGAATGTGTAGCCATCTGGCAACCAGAAGTGAAGGAAAATCCTTGAGCAAAAGTTAGGAGAAACACATCTGCTCCGACTTAACAGGTGATCATTCACATCTTTATTTCAGATCTCTGCATTATCTAATAGACTCTTACAGATTATAATAGTATTTTGGGTTTATTGTTGTGAAAAATTCTGTAAAAATATGAGTGAAATAACGCTTTATTATCATTAACAGTAAAACTGAACAAACTGCATTATTATTCTCATCTGTACTTATTAAAATGTATAAAATGATGTGTTTTCATACTTAGTTGTGTATTTTGTATCATTTTCTCTTGCTGACACATCATAGCAAACTAAAGATTTAAAATAGGCTCATATTATTCTTGTTTTAGACATTTTAATGCTTTTTTTTTGTGGAATCATAGTAAAAAATTAAGTCATTTTTGTGGTTAGAACTTGATATATGAAATTAATGAAAAAAAGGGAAATTCTGATATTTTTTGTCAGGGAAAAACAAAATAAAACAGCCAAGATGTGGAGAGAAACAACATTTATACAGCATTTACATTTTGTTTTTAAATAAATTGATTAAATAACTGTATTTAATAAATATTATGTTGGATCTATAATAGATTATAGATAATAAATAGCATTATAATAAATATAATATAATAAATGACATAAATAAAAAAAATATATATATATATATATATATACACACATAAAATCTTTATATATTATTTTATAAACTTTTATAAGTATATATTTTTATTTACATTTCTATATAAAAGTTTTCTGTAAAAAAAAGAAAAACCACAAATACAAATCATTTTGATAACAAATTCAGCATTTACAGAATGTGTTGATTTTTTTATTTGAATTAGAATATGACAATCAAAACGCTTTCAATAAATATATAATAAACTATAATAAAAATGATAATAAATATACTGAGTTGACTGAACAATATCTGCCTATATCTGAGTTATTTGTTTATTTTTGTCATTCTATCAACAACACAAATAAAATAAATGGAAACACTATAAAATAATGCAGTAATGTTAGTTAATCCTTTAACTATGCCACCAAGAAAAAAAAAATGTTTGAATTGCATTTCTTAGCTCCTTATGTTGCTACACTTCACCGGTTTATGGTAAAAGTACTGGAATTTATACATATACTGTGAAAAATATGAAGATATGAAGTTTAAGACCAATATTTTGAGTACTAAATCAGCTCTATTTTTTAAAGTATGCCATAAAATATTTAAGATTTTCATTTAAAATGCTTTCTTGTTTTTTTTTTTTTTTTTTTACATTAAAACCAAAACCAAGTGTAGTAGTGCAACTGCCTGTTTGATTTTTTTAGTAAACCAACAATAATGTGTGTAAACAATTATTTAAAACATACATTCATTCATTTTCTTTTCGGCTTAGTCCCTTTATTAATCCGGGGTAGCCACAGCGGAATGAACCGCCAACTTCTCCAGCACATATTTTACACAGAGGATGCCCTTCCAGCTGCAACCCAACTCTGGGAAACATCCACACACACTCATTAACACTCATACACTACAGACAATTTAGCCTACCCAATTCACCTGTACCACATGTGTTTGGACTGTGGGGGAAACCCACGCGAACGCAGGAAGAACATGCAAACTCCACACAGAGCCGAGGCTCGAACCACCGACCTTCTTGTTGTGAGTCGACAGCAATACCTACAAACTAATTCTAACGAAAACTTTATATTTTAATAATGCATTAATGCTGAACTGTACTATGATTTTTAAAGGCTTTACAAAATGATTAATACTTAGTTAATGTTAGAAAAGACATCAACTAAGGGAACATTGTTCTAAAGTGTTACCAAATAAATAGTTAAATTAAAAAATGATTTATATAACATACCCAAATCCACTGCTCATCATCATGACATCAGCACTCGTCACATTGTAAGATCATGTAACTTTCACGCACGTGTAGTAATCTGAATAAACATACCTCACTCATTCATTCACTCACTCACTCACTCATTCACACTAGTGATAGTAGTAATCACCTCACTGTATCTCCCAGCAGTAGTAACAGCAGTCAGTGCTGCTGACATAACCTTGTGTAACAGAGGTAACTTAAAGGATACAGATACCGAGCACCACCGCGCCGATAGCGAGTCCTGTCGCCACATTTCTGCCCCGGAGCTTGTCTGTTTTCTTCTTCCACTGCGCCATTTCCACCTGCCGGATGAACTGCAGCTGTTCTTTGGTCAGGGCTTCTTTTGTCGGGTCAATTCTCTTGGCAAACTGGGCTTCGGGTTTGGGCTCCCCTTGACTACTCTTGTCTGCCATGTTTGAGGCGCTGCTGTCTGACGTAACGCAGGGCTATTTTGCACGTCAATGATGCGCCGCATTTGCGCAACTCTACAAATATAAAGACTTGGCATTTCTTCTTCCCACATAGATATAACATAAAAACAGCAATAATAATAATAATAATAATAATAATAATAATAATAATAAT